GGGCTCCTAACCAATTGTGCTATTATGTGTGTTTTTTCGCGTTATTTGTAACTTATTTTGTACATAATGTTTCTGCCACCGTCTTTTATGACCAAAAAGAGCTTCTGGATATCAGGACAGCAATTACTCACCTTGTACTGGAAAATATTTTTTCTTTAATGACTCGGACGCAAAGGATTGAATTCAGACACCCGACAAGGCCCAAATCCCCGTCATTCCCATGAAGAAGAGACGGATATATCGGGGACGTAGGTCGGGGTGCCTTGTAAGGATCCGACGGCGAGTGGGTAATCTGCCTCTACCATCAGTCCTATTAGCCAACGTACAATCATTGTAAAATAAAATGGATGAGCTCCAATCAAGAATATCCTACCAAATAGCTGTAATATCTTATGTTTCACCGAGTCATGGCTGAACAACGACATGGATAACATACTGCTGGCGGGGTTTTCGGTGCATCGGCAAGATAGAACAGCTGCCTCCGGTAAGACAAGGGGTGGTGGTCTGTGTATATTTGTAAATAACAGCTGGCGCACAAAATCTAATATTAAGGAAGTCTCAAGGTTTTGCTCGAGACTTCCTCATGTATGTCATGATAAGCTGTAGACCACACTATTTACCAAGAGAGATTTCATCTATATTTTTCGTAGCTGTCTACTTACCACCACAAACCGATGCTGGCACTAAGACCACACTCAACAAGCTGTATAAGGCCATAAGCAAACAAGAAAATGCTCATCCAGAGGCAGAGCTCCTAGTGGCCGAGGACTTTAATGCAGGGAAGCTTAAATCCGTTTTACCTCATTTCTACCAGCATGTTAAATGTGCAACCAGAGGAAAAAAAACTCTAGACTACCTTTACTCCGCAAACAGAGATGCGTACAACACTCTCCCTCGCCCTCCATTTGGAAAATCTGACCATAATTCTATCCTCCTGATTCCTGCTTACAAGCAAAAACTAAAGCAGGGAGTACCAGTGACTCGCTCAATACAGAAGTGGTCAGATGACGCAGATGCTAAGCTACAGGACTGTTTTGCTAGCACAGACTGAAATATGTTCTGGGATTCTTCCGATGGCATTGAGGAGTACACCACATCAGTCACTGGCTTCATCAATAAGTGTATCGATGACATCGTCCCCACGGTGACTGTACGTACCTACCCCAATCAGAAGCCATGGATTACAGGTAACATCCGCACTGAGATAAAGGGTAGAGCTGCCGCTTTCAAGGAGCAGGACTCTAACCCGGATGCTTATAAGAAATCCCACTATGCCCTCCGACGAACCATTAAACAGGCAAAGCGTCAATACAGGACTAAGATTGAATCGTGCTACACCGGCTCCGACGCTCGTCGGATGTGGCAGGGCTTGCAAACTATTACAGACTACAAAGGGAAGCACAGCCGCGAGCTGCACAGTGACATGAGCCTACCAGACGAGCTAAATTACTTCTACTCTCGCTTCGAGGCAAGCAACACTGATGCGTGCATGAGAGCATCAGCTGTTCCGGACGACTGTGTGATCATGCTCTCCGTAGCCGATGTGAGTAAGACCTTTAAACAGGTCAACATTCACAAGGCCGCAGGGCCAGACGGATTACCAGGACGTGTACTCCGAGCATGCGCTGACCAACTGGCAAGTGTCTTCACTGACATTTTCAACCTGTCCCTGACTGAGTCTGTAATACCAACGTTTCAAGCAGTCCACCATAGTCCCTGTGCCCAAGAACACTAAGGTAACGTGCCTAAATGTGGTCCTCTGTAGCTCAATTGGTAGAGCATGGTGCTTGTAACGCCAGGGTAGTGGGTTCGATCCCCGGGACCACCCATAAGTAAAAATGTATGCGCACATGACTGTAAATCGCTTTGGATAAAAGCGTCTGCTAAATGGCATAGTATATTATATGACTACTGACCCGTAGCACTCATGTCTGTAGCCATGAAGTGCTTTGAAAGGCTGTTCATGGTGCACATCAACACCATTATCCCAGAAACCCTAGACCCACTCCAATTTGCATACCGCCCCAACAGATCCACAGATGATGCAATCTCTATTGCACTCCACACTGCCCTTTCCCACCTGGGCAAAAGGAACACCTACGTGAGAATGCTGTTCATTGACTACAGCTCAGCGTTCAACATCCATGGTGCCCTCAAGGCTCATCAATAAACTAAGGACCCTGGAACTAAACACCTCCCTCTGCAACTGGATCCTGAACTTCCTGACGGGCCGCCCACAGGTGGTAAGGCTAGGTAACAACACATCTGCCACACTGATCCTCAACACGGGGGCCCCTCAGGGGTGCGTGCTCAGTCCCCCCCTGTACTCAATGTTCACCCATGACTGCATGGCCAAGCACGACTCCAACACCATCATTAAGTTTTCCGATGACACAACAGTGGTAGGCCTGATCACCGACAACGATGAGACAGCATATAGGGAGGAGGTCAGAGACCTGGCCGTGTGGTGCCAGGATAACAACCTCTCCCTCAACGTGATCAAGACAAAGGAGATGATTGTGGACTACAGGAAAAGGAGGACCGAGCACGCCCCCATTCTCATCGACAGGGTTGTAGTGGAGCAGGTTGAGAGCTGCAAGTTCCTTGGTGTCCACATCACCAACAAACTATTATGGTCCAAATACACCAAGACAGTGGTGAAGAGAGCACGACAAAGCCTATTCCCCCTCAGGAGACTGAAAAGATTTGGCATTGGTCCTCAGATCCTCAAAACGTTCTACAGCTGCACCATCGAGAGCATCCTGACTGGTTGCATCCCCGCCTGGTATGGCAACTGCTCGGCATCTGACCGCAAGGCACTACAGAGGGTAGTGCGTACGGCCCAGCACATCACTGGGGCCAAGCTTCCTGCCATCCAGGACCTCTATATCAGGCGGTGTCAGAGGAAGGCCCTAAAAATTTACAAAGATTCCAGCCACCCTAGTCATGGACTGTTCTCTCTGCTACCACACAGCAAGCGGTACCGGAGCGCCAAGTCTAGGTCCAAAAGGCTTCTCAACCACCCCACTCCCTCTTTTTAAGCTGCTGCTACTCTCTGTTTATTATCTATGCATAGTCACTTTACCTCTACCCACATTACATTTACATTTACGTCATTTAGCAGACGCTCTTATCCAGAGCGACTTACAGTTAGCACATATATTATTTTATCAAACCCACAACCCTGGCGTTGCAAACGCCATGCTCTACCAACTGAGCTACATCCCCTGCCGGCCATTCCCTCCCCTACCCTGGACGACACTGGGCCAATTGTGCGCCGCCATGTATGTACTACCTCAATTACCTCGACTAACCTGTGCCCCCGCACATTGATTCTTTACCGTTACCCCCTGTATATAGCCTCGCTACTGTTATTTTACTGCTGCTCTTTAATAATTTGTTATTCTTCCATTTTTCTTATTTTTCTTATTTTTATTTATCTATTTTTAACACTTAACACTTATTTTTCTTAAAACTGCGTTGTTGGTTAAGAGCTGGTAAGTAAGCACTTCACTGTAAGGTCTACACTTGTTGTATTCTGTGCATGTGACAAATACAATTTGATTTGATTTGAATTTGCCCTGTTTTTTCATTGATTATACCCCAGCATACTTAAAAAATATGGGATTTATAGTCTGGCCGTCGTCAAGAAACACCAAAGAAGAAGAGGATTAGCTAACCGGATGTTACGTCAAATCTACAAACAACCCAAGGCTGCTGAATTATCTGGAGCAAAGCAGCATTTTCTAGAATAACCATAACTGGAAAACGATAATACATCACCACTGGAAACTTATCAGGCTATAGAAGAAAACTGGGACGGCTGAAGAGCAAGGTAATTTGACCACGTCTTTTGTTTTACCAGTGACACATTCCTTTGATGCTGGGCATCATCACAAAAACATTAGCTAGCTAGTTAGCTTGCTAGCCTCTTAGTTAGCTAGACAGAATGATAATTTTCACAGCAACGCAAATTACTGCAAAATGTTGATGTTGGCTAGAACATTCAGTATGGTCTTTAGCTTTGGTATTATTGGTTTTGAGTTGTTAGGTGATGTGTAATGCTAGGAGGCACAGGACGGCGAACAAAACTGGCTATGCTATCGAGTTAGCAATCTTCTAGCTAACGTTAACATAGTGAGCAGCATTAGCTAGTATAATGCAGAGTGACATTTCAGAGATACGGCGGAAAGAGAAAAAGATGAGACTCTGTCTAATTGTATACAATTATTTCCGATAAAATCGATAGTTAAACAGTAGCTAGCTAGCTGACGTTGTATACCTGGCTAGCGCAGCCGCAGCACAACGACTCATGTCCCCACTAGTATATGTTAGTTAGCTAGATCAGGAGCTTCAACATATACGGATAATTGTAGCATTCCCCCTGTGGTTGATCCAGAGTTGTCAATCAGGCCTGGTTATTGTTAAATTGCACCAGGGGGTATGTTCTACACTGAGCCAGAATGTGACCTCTTTGGACGATAAAGCGTTGCCCATTAATGGCACCATAAGCCCCCATCCTCCAGCTGTCACTCAGGCATGCCAATTAGTTACCAGGCAACTGCCAGTCCAGTCTGGGGAGGATAAAGTTAATTTAAGTCATAGATTAGCCCATATTCAAGGTGCTGCTGTACGTCAATTTTTTGTTCCCTGAGGCTTGGGAAATAATTGCCCATTTACACCATAACTTGTATAAGATGTAGAATTTGCAGGAGTGCACATTACTGTTTCCTATTCACACAGGTTGGAAAAAGTTATACAAAACCATGGTGGAATATTATCACATTTTAGGAGTCCTAAGAAATGCATCTCAAGAAGACATTAAAAAAGCGTAAGTATCCTTGTTAAGTTTAGCGTATGTATTCCAATAGATAGACTGGCACTAGATGTAGATGATGGGATTTTCAAATGTTTTAAATGTTTCAATCTACTGATATTATAGGTTTACATTTAAAAAATTCCCCTTGAGTTGCTGTTTAATGTATTTCTCTACTTTTAGGTACAGAAAATTGGCACTAAAATGGCATCCAGATAAAAACCCAGAAAATAAGGAAGAGGCAGAGAAAAAGTTCAAAGAACTTTCTGAGGCCTATGAGGTTCTGTCAGATGGTAAGTCATACATTTTGAAAGGTGTTTGAAGTCAAGAGAACACAGTATTTATAATACATGAACAATAAATAAATAATGCACTGATATCTGCATCCATGACACGTAAAGTACATCTAACCAAAATAAGTTATTTTATTTTCAAGGAAGCTATTTGTTCACATACAATAACAGCATCCACCACTGTTATGCTATTGTTAAACTGTGTGTTAATGTGATGTGAGTAGTTGAGGTTGCAAAATATTGCATTGGTTTCCTTCTGAAATTCCCGTTAATAATCCCATAAAGGCTGTATACGCTGATCTGCAGGTACTTACCCAGTGTGATGTCCCTCTGAACCCTTGGCAAGCATCCAGTGTATCTCACTTGTTGTCATCCTGTTTGTCATTTCACTGTTTACTTTGACGTGAGTTTACGTTTTTATATTCTGTTGTAGCCAACAAAAGGAACATGTATGATCGCTATGGTAAAGAAGGCCTAACAACAAACAGCGTTGGAGGTGGTAAGTCGTTTCTTTATTAGGCTCTTGGCAAATGTCAGAAATGTATACAATTATTTTGTGGAAAGTTTCATTGTTTGTTTATTACAGATGTATAGAGTAACTATCATAACACTTATTATTATTTCCACTGACCATGTTCATCCTTTGTGTTTTCATTTAGGTGGACATTACCACAATGGTGATCACTTCAACGAAGGGTTCACCTTCCGCAATCCCGAAGACGTCTTCAGGGAGTTCTTTGGCGGTCGAGATCCTTTTGCTGATTTCTTTGGTGAACATTTCTGAGTATTGCTTTTTGAGTGTTGGTAATACATTGTCAACAACATATATCTTAAAGCTTTTACAGAGAGAGCTGCAGACGGAAGAGAGGGACAATCAGTAGGCGAGCACAGAGAAGGAAGGACGGAGATGAGAGGCAGCCAGAGAAGGAAGGACGGAGATGAGAGGCAGCCAGAGAAGGAAAGATGGCGATGAGAGGCAGCCAGAGAAGGAAGGACGGAGATGAGAGGCAGCCAGAGAAGGAAAGACGGAGATGAGAGGCAGCCAGAGAAGGAAAGACGGAGATGAGAGGCAGCCAGAGAAGGAAGGACGGAGATGAGAGGCAGCCAGAGAAGGAAAAACGGAGATGAGAGGCAGCCAGAGAAGGAAAGACGGAGATGAGAGGCAGCCAGAGAAGGAAAGACGGAGATGAGAGGCAGCCAGAGAAGAAAAGACGGAGATGAAACAGGCAGCCAGAGAAGGAAAGACGGAGATGAAACAGGCAGCCAGAGAAGGAAAGACTGAGATGAAACAGGCAGCCAGAGAAGGAAAGACGGAGATGAAACAGGCAACCAGAGAAGGAAAGACAGAGATGACAGAGGGAGCCAGTCGTCCTTTATGAGGACCATGTTGGGTTGGTTACTATAGACTCAGTATGCTTATCCCAGAAACTAATAATATGAATCATTTAGCATCTACTAGATTGGAGTATTACAGTCAGTAAATTGCATTACATTCACTTTGAAATCGTAGGTGGTGTAGGTCTATTTATCTGAAAGCATGCAGGCTATTTCTTGTTGTTTAACTTTAGCTGTCACCCAGAAACTGAACAGTCTCTCTTCTCTTCACACTCTTCCTTCTCTTCTCCTGCAGGAGGGGATCCGTTTGGGGATGAGTTCTTCGGTGGAGGGCGGAGGCACCACAGGGGGGTGAGCAGGAGTCGAACGGGGGGACCCTTCTTCGGGGGATTCGGTGGCTTCCCACCATTCGGTGCAGGCTTCACAGCATTTGACCCAGGTCAGGAAACACTGGTCCCAGATATAGATGTTTAAAAAAAAAAATATCCCAAAGAAACAAACACGTAATTCATAAGTTATTGATCAGTTCACCTTGTAATTTCTTAGGAAACACCTGGTCCTGTCTGTACTGTCAAATAAAGTGTACAGCTATCAATCCAGAACTACTTTTCCTTAAAGCAGTTAGAGGATGTATTTTTTGATGCATTGAGAGATGTGATTGTTATGGATCTATAAGTGAATGTCATCTCTCTGTTCCCTGACAGGCTTTACCTCTTTCGGACACATGGGACACATGGGTCATATGGGTCCTATGGGCCATATGAGTCACATGGGTCATCTGGGAGGAGGAGGAGGAGGAGGCCATGGTGGCTTCACCGCCTTTTCCTCCACCTCCTTTGGCGGCGGGGGTGGAGGTGGAGGAGGCGGGATGGGCAACTTCCGCTCTGTATCAACCTCCACCAAATTCATCAACGGCAGGAAAATCACAACAAAAAGGTGGATTAGTAGCTCTCTAACCACACAGTGAAGTTGATATTGTTTTGTTTAGTCTTTAATTATGTTTTCAAGGGGAAAATGCAACTAGGTAGCCTCTGATGATAGTGTATCCTTTAACATTGGTTATTTTTGAAGTGCATTGATTTAGAAAAGGAACACTAAAATGTATCTTAAATCCCCCCAATACTTTAGAATTGTGGAGAATGGACAGGAACGCGTAGAGGTGGAAGAAGACGGACAGTTAAGATCACTAACCGTCAATGGTAAGGAACAACTACTGCGACTGGATAACAAGTAATCTCCTGGAGCATTACCAGCACAAACTTGAGCTCAAAAAACAATGTTATGTCATTGTTTGGATGTATGTACTTTTGTTTGTTTTTCCCTTGTTAGCGTTTGTAGGTCAGTGTCCATTAGGTAAATTCCATTTTCTATGCATTTTGTTAATGTATTTATGAATTAGAGCTGTCAACAATTTGGCTCAGGATGGTGTGTTTTACTTGCGTTTGGGACCATGGTGTAAGTAAGTTAGGACCAGAGAACTTCTGTTTGTACTGTCTTTCTGTATGCACTTCTTCGCTCTATTGCAGTCTCTCTGATAGTGTTTTGGACAAGGAACGCTTTGTGCATTTGGATAAAGCATGACTTTGCTTTTTCATCTGGATATTGATATGAGTGTTAACTGGAAAACGTAAGCCTTGCTTTAAAACCCTGTTTACGACCTGATTGCTTATCTAACCTTTGTTAGTAACATTTATTTTATAAATGCTGGTAGAAAGTGTTAATATGCTATTTTATTTGTTCTAATACAAGTGTTTTTAGTTTTTTTGTTCATTTCAGCATGTATGCCAATAAATGTTGTTCAGTCTTAATGTTATGATTGCATAACCATGCACAAATTAACGATTCATTATATAAATGATACATGAATATACAAGGAATTTTGTGTACTTTGTAAAACAATTTAAAATCAATAAATATGAATTTCATCCTTTTTTGGGGATGGGACCGACAGTCTTGGGTGGCGTGGTGTGCTGTTTCTTCTAACAGAACAAGCAATTCATCGTCCTAAATTGCTAACTGCTGCTTTGCTTACAGAGGATTGATCCTTTTGTGTGAGTGCATGCTACTGTACTAACTGCATGAACAGGCTTTCTATCTTCTAGATATCTTTCTACATGCATTCTATTTTCCCTATCTTGCATGAAATGGCTGTCTTGTCATTTACTATGTCTTCATGGTGTGAAGGCATAATCAGTGGAGGATATTCTTGCAATGTACATAATATCAACTGGTCAGCTGAGTCCATAATAAAGTAGCATAAGAGCTACTTTTACCATAAGAATCAATTTATTGTAGTTTAGGTGTAGGTGACCCATAATGACAAGGCAAAAATAGTTTTTTTTGAATTTGCAAATGTGTGTGTGTGTGTGTGTATATATATATATATATATATATATATATATATATATATATATATATATATATACACTGCTCAAAAAAATAAAGGGAACACTAAAATAACACATCCTAGATCTGAATGAATGAATAAATACTTTTTTCTTTACATAGTTGAATGTGCTGACAACAAAATCACACACAAATTATCAATGGAAATCAAATTTATCAACCCATGGAGGTCTGGATTTGGAGTCACCCTCAAAATTAAAGTGGAAAACCACACTACAGGCTGATCCACCTTTGATGTAATGTCCTTAAAACAAGTCAAAATGAGGCTCAGTAGTGTGTGTGGCCTCCACATGCCTGTATGACCTCCCTACAACGCCTGGGCATGTTCCTGATGAGGTGGCGGATGGTCTCCTGAGGGATCTCCTCCCAGACCTGGACTAAAGCATCTGCCAACTCCTGGACAGTCTGTGGTGCAACGTGGCGTTGGTGGATGGAGCGAGACATGATGTCCCAGATTTGCTCAATTGGATTCAGGTCTGGGGAACGGGCGGGAAAGTCCATAGCATCAATGCCTTCCTCTTGCAGGAACTGCTGACACACTCCAGCCACATGAGGTCTAGCATTGTCTTGCATTAGGAGGAACCCAGGGCCAACCGCACCAGCATATGGTCTCACAAGGGGTCTGAGGATCTCATCTCAGTACCTAATGGCAGTCAGGCTACCTCTGGCGAGCACATGGAGGGCTGTGCGGCCCCCCAAAGAAATGCCACCCAACACCATGACTGACCCACCGCCAAACCGGTCATGCTGGAGGATGTTGCAGGCAGCAGAACATTCTCCATGGCGTCTCCAGACTCTGTCACGTCTGTCACGTGCTCAGTGTGAACCTGCTTTCATCTGTGAAGAGCACAGGGCCCAGTGGCGAATTTGCCAATCTTGGTGGTCTCTGGCAAATGCCAAACGTCCTGCACGGTGTTGGGCTGTAAGCACAACCCCCACCTGTGGACGTCGGGCCCTCATACCACCCTCATGGAGTCTGTTTATGACCGTTTGAGCAGACACATGCACATTTGTGGCCTGCTGGAGGTCATTTTGCAGGGCTCTGGCAGTGCTCCTCCTGCTCCTCCTTGCACAAAGGCGGAGGTAGCAGTCCTGCTGCTGGGTTGTTGCCCTCCTACGGCCTCCTCCACATCTCCTGATGTACTGGCCTGTCTCCTGGTAGCGCCTCCATGCTCTGGACACTACGCTGACAGACACAGCAAACCTTCTTGCCACAGCTCGCATTAATGTGCCATCCTGGATGAGCTGCACTACCTGAGCCACTTGTGTGGGTTGTAGACTCCGTCTCATGCTACCACTAGAGTGAAAGCACCGCCAGCATTCAAAAGTGACCAAAACATCAGCCAGGAAGCATAGGAACTGAGAAGTGGTCTGTGGTCACCACCTGCAAAACCAGTCCTTTATTGGGGGTGTCTTGCTAATTGCCTATAATTTCCACCTGTTGTCTATTCCATTTGCACAACAGCATGTGGAATGTATTGTCAATCAGTGTTGCTTCCTAAGTGGACAGTTTGATTTCACAGAAGTGTGATTGACTTGGAGTTACATTGTGTTGTTTAAGTGTTCCCTTTATTTTTTTGAGAAGTGTATATATATATATATATATATATATATATATATATATATATATATATATATATATATATAAAAACTGCAATATCACATTTACATAAATATTCAGACCCTTTACTGAGTACTTTGTTGAAGCACCTTTGGCAGCGATTACAGCCTCAAGTCTTGGGTATGAAGCTACAAGCTTGGCACACCTGTATTTGGGGAGTTTCTCCCATTCTTCTCTGCAGATCCTCTCAAGCTATGTCAGGTTGGATGGGGAGCGTCGCTGCACAGCTATTTTCAGGTCTCTCCAGAGCTGTTCGATCGGGTTCAAGTCTGGCTTCTGGCCGGGCCACTCAAGGACTTGTCCCGAGGCCACTCCTGCATTGTCTTGGCTGTGTGTTTAGAGTCGTTGTCCTGTTGGAAAGTGAACCGTCGCCCCAGTCTGAGGTCCTGAGCGCTCTAGAGCAGGTTTTCATCAAGGATCACTGTACTTTGCTCCGTCCTTCTCCCAATCCCTGTCGCGGAAAAACATCCCCACTGCATGATGCTGCCACCACAATGCATCACCGAAGGGATGGTGCCAGGTTTCCTCCAGATGTGATGCTTGGCATTCAGGCCAAAGAGTTCAATCTTGGTTTCATCAGACCAGAGAATCTTGTTTCTCATGGTCTGAGAGTCCTTTAGGTGCCTTTTGGCAAACTCCAAGCGGGCTGTCGTGCCTTTTACTGAGGAGTGGTTTCCGTCTGGCCACTCTACCATAATGGACTGATTGGTGGAGTGCTGCAAAGATGGTTGTCCTTTGGGAAGGTTCTCCCATCTCCACAGAGGAACTCTGGAGCTCTGTCAGAGTGATCATCGGGTTCTTGGTCACCTCCCTGACCAAGGCCCTTCTCCCCCGATTGCTCAGTTTGGCCGGCGGCCAGCTCTAGGAAGAGTCTTGGTGGTTCCAAACTTCTTCCATTTAAGAATGATGGAGGCCACTGTGTTCTTGGGGACCTTCAATGCTGCAGACATTTTTTGGTACCCTTCTCTAGATATATGTGCCTCGACACAATCCTGTCTCTGAGCTCTACGGACAATTCCTTTGACCTCATGGCTTGGTTTTTGCTCTGACATGCACTGTCAACTGTGGGACCTTATATAGACAGGTGTGTGCCTTTCCAAATCAAGTCCAATCAATTGAATTTACCACAGGTGGACTCCAATCAAGTTGTAGAAACATCCCAAGGATGATCAATGGAAACAGGATGCACCTGAGCCTCATAGCAATGGGTCTGAATACTAATGTAAATATGGTATTGCTGTTTTTTATTTGCAAAAATTTCTAAAAACCTGTTTTCGCTTTGTCATTATGGGATATTGTGTGTAGATTGATGAGGGGAAAACATTATTTAATCAATTTTAGAATAAGGTTGTAATATATCAAAATTTGGAAAATGTCAAGGGGTCTGAATACTTTCCGAATGCACTGTATGTGAGATTATTAAATCCCAATTTTCTACGTTTCACTCCAGGCCCTGGAGATTATTCTTTACTGGAAAATGTTTAGCGTTATTGCAGATAGAAAGATGCAATGTAGAACAGACTGTGTTCTCTCTCTCACTCCTTTGTTTCTATGTCCCAAAATAATGCACCCTATTGAATAAGCCACAACTTTCACTCACAATACGGCATGTTTGATATTTCACAGCATTTTGCCTCTGTCCCCTTTATGTATTTAGCAATTAACTGTTCAGTTCAACATTATCCATCTGATGGTTGCCCCTGTTTAGGTTCATTCATTTACATACTGTACGTCTGTCCTGATCCACGCATGGAAATTCAATGGAGCGTTTCCTATTGAAGACCGTATGTATTGTAGGGGGTAACTGGTGTCACCCTTCTCTTCTTACAACACCCCATTCCTCTCCTCAGGGGCAAAGCCTAATGCCACAGTTCAAGCAGTCCAACAGGAAGAGTGCAGACAAACTGTTACTGCACACTCCTCCAGTGCACATGCCTCCCGGTCCCCTGTTCCCCGTCCTCCTTATCATCATGTAAAGACTTCCTCCCACAGGCCCACTCCAGACAGAGAGGAGGGAAGGAGCCCAGCTTCAGGTTAGAACCCCTTTTAATACATGATCCCCTAACATTCCCATAATAGTACAGTGGGCAATTTTTCTTTAATTTATACGTTTCTTTGAAACATCATGGAGAAGGTGTGCAGGCATTCAATTCTCAATCAAAGTGGAATAATGTATTATTTGTTTTCATACTGTAGTTCTGGGCCTATCAAAAGAGTAGGAGTGGTGATCTAGTATCAATTTAGCCTTGTAAATCATAATGAATAAGACAAGGAGAGATATCATCCTAGATCAGGATTCCTGCTCTGAGATGCTATGTGAATATGGGCCCTGGACTCATTGGATCCACAATCAAATAAGCTGTCTTTTTCTTATGCATCTCTCTCCAGTACACAGTGAAAACAAGAGGAAGAAACCCATGCCTGAGCCCACAGAGGATGCCAAAAAGAGAAAAACATGATGGATACAGTACACACAGATCCTTTTCCTCCTAGTCAGCTACGGAAACAATATGTTATTGATACACCCTTAACAATGAATATTGTTTTAAAGGACACTTAAATATGGGGTCCTCAAAGCGCTTTAGCAAGCATGCACACATACAGTAAATGTATAATCCTGACTACTTTTCTATTATATATCCTATTTTACAACCATACGAAAATGTGGGGTGCATCCGACTAAATGATTCAGAAAACCATGCAAACTACAATTGAAATTAGTTTAAATCATGACACTTGTCTTTCCTTACATCCAGTAATATACATTACTAAAGGAACACTGTCAATTAGTTTAGCTTAAATATTGAATGGGTGATGTGCAGGGGTCGACTTGTCAAAAGTTAACGGGGAATGGTAGTTGCGTTGGGGGGGGGGGGGGGGGGGGACAGTCCATTATAATATATGTGATGGATGATACTCCCTGGCTGCCAGTGCCCTCAGCAGAGGGTTCCATTTGCTCTTGGGGGGGAGGGGCTTATCCCTGTAGCCTTGGAACAGCTGAGGACCGTCATGCTCTTCCTCCGCCTCCGAACTGATCTCCATCTTCTGAACGATCAGCTTCAGCAGGTTGTGCTGCTTCTCAATAACATTAGACATCTCCTTCAGCCTGGAGAATTCATATATTGTCTATTTTAATAGTCTCAAAAACGGTGTAGTATTGAAGCACTTAATACAAAATTGATAGAATGCACTTTAAACACTGATAGATTTTTAAATACTGATAAACCAAATACTGATACACAATATAATGTTAATACTTGTGCATTGCTCTGCTGTTGTATTTGAATAAGGTCAAACAAACCACTGGTGTGAACTAAGTCCTCACCTGTACTTCTGTTTACTGATTTCCTGTTCCATAGGTGTAAACCGATGGGAAGTGGAGTTGAGACGGGTTCTCTCATGCCCCATACCCAGCATTGCAAAGAACATTTCTCTCTGTTAAAGGAGATTCAGACTATTCATTATGACTATGTTGTTTACCAAACACCTATACCAAACACTAACAGTGTCCTATGGTGGGCTTGGACAACCTCCATGTCTCTCCATAAGTATTTACATGCAGAGTATTAGTTGATTAAACAATCCTTTAAACTAACTGATTCACAATTTTTATAGGTCAATAGATACACTGAAGAAAGTCCTGTATTAAACGCCTTCAAGAGGATCTCAAAATATTTGTTCTGTTCTTCAGTTTGAAAGCCCTTCAATTTTACACAAACATTCAAAGGGCAGTTATTAACATATTCTTTTAAATACGACCACTTGTAGAAAGGACACACCTTTCTGCTGCAGGCTCTGTTAGGGTACTCAGTGAGAGAGTCCTGGTCAACCCTCTTCATTAACCAGTACGGCATCTTCTCCTCTAGACTAGTGTGAAGCTCAATCTGTGGAATAATGGTTTATAATACATGCATAGTTTATTTTATCCTGGCAGTCAAACACTAGTAAAGAGTTTGAAAATTCTTTATGAGTTTGAAAAAGCATGACAAAGAAGTCAAAACACACCTGCATTCCCATTTGCTTCAGCACAGCATTCTCCTGTACCTTTGCTATGTCACCAACAGCCAAGCCAATCTATGTCACACAAAATGTAGTCATGTAGATGCAATGAAGCATCCTTAGTTGATAATGGGAGTATAGGTAAATGGCTTCATGTAGGATTTTAGGACTTACCATTAGGTTCATGAGGAGAATGGGCACAGCGAAGGTGAACATAACAAAAATGGCGTAGGTCAAAGAAGGGAATGGCAGAATCCCTTCCAGAAATGGCTTCAGGATATTTTCTTGGTAGTTGAATTCTCCAACCATCATGACAAATGCTTGCATAATTGCTAGCAGTAAACTAGATCTACTGTCAAAAAAGTTCTGGGAACAAAGATGCATAAAGTCATATACAGTGAGCTCCAAAAGTATTGGGACAGTGACACATTATTTTGTTGTTGTTTTGGCTCTGTACTCCAGCATTTGAAGTGATGCAATGACTATGAGGTTAAAGGGCAGACTGTCAGCTTTAATTTGAGGGTATGTTCATCCATATCGGGTGAACCGTTTGGAAACATTTTGTACATAGTCCTCCCATTTTAGGGGACCAAAAGTATTGGGACAAATTCACTAATATGTGTATTAAAGTAGTCAACAGTTTAGTATTTGGTCCCATATTCCTAGCACGCAATGATTGTATCTAGTTTGTGACTCTACAAATTAGTTGGATGCATTTGCTGTTTGTTTTGGTTACGATTCAGATTATTTTGTGCACAATAGAAATGAATGGTAAGTAATGTGTTGTGTCATTTTGGAGTCACTGTTTCTAAACACTTCTACATTAATGTGGATGCTGCCATGATTACGGATAATCCTGAATAAATCGTGAATTATGATGAGTGAGAAAGTTACAGATGCACAAATATCATACCCCCCCAAAAAATGCTTACCTCCCCTGTTATTGTAATGGTGAGAGGTTAGCATGTCTTGGGGTATGATATTTGTGCATCTGTAACTTTCTCACTCATTATTCACGATTCATTCAGGATTATCCGTAATCATGGTAGCATCCACATCAATGTAGAAGTGTTTAGAACCATATTATATTATTGTTTACAATAAAAGAGACTCCAAAATGACACAATACATTATTTACCACTCATTTCTATTGAGCACAAAATAATCTGAAACACGACTAAAACAAACAGCAAATGCATCCAACAAATTTGTAGCAGTCATTGCGTGCTATCATGCATCCAACATATACTTAACATTTGACTACTTTAATACACACAAGTGAATTTGTCCCAATTATTTTTGTCCCCTAAAATGGGGGGACTACAGTATGTACAAAAAGTGCTGTAATTTCTAAACGGTTCACCGATATGGATGAAAATACCCTCAAATTAAAACTGACAGTCTGCACTTTAACCATTTCAAATCCATAGTGCTGGAGTACAAAGCCAGAAGAACAACAAATGTGTCACTCTCCCAATACTTTTGGAGCTCACTGTAATTGTAGAAATGCATTATACAAATACAGGTACAAGTTATCGCCCATTTTAAACAGATGTTCACAGACAAAACACTCAGCTACATACATTACACAAAACAATACAATACAATGTTCTTCACATAGAGATAAAACATTGTTATATCTCTATGGTCCTGTAAACATACCTGTTCTAGCATCAGGGCATAGAAAGCCAAAGCAAACGCCAGCAGCAAGAAGAAGAACAGTACAATGATGCTTAAAAGAGTTTTTGCAATCTCTAAAAACATCACCACGTAGATCCCAACACATTCAAACCTGTGGACCAAGAGTGATTTTATTTGTTAAAATTGCTTTTGTTGATCAAAAAATACATTTGATCAATTTATATAAATGTTTCTTCAAAGATGGATCTCAATAAACCTACACTATTTTATGGCAAAAAAAAACTTTGTCTCCATACCGTTGGAAATAGAGAAGAAAGTTGATCCAGGATAGAAGAACTGCCACTACCCCAGCCTCCCAATGCCATGTGTCCTTGAAGTCCATCAGTAACGGGATCACAAACATCAGAGAAGTGACGGAAGCACCCCAGTCCAATGCATTGGTCACATCACGGAAGTACTTTGAACCCTTGAATAGAAACACATCAAATTAACGTCTATTTCAATATTGTAATGAATTCGGGCGGTAGCCCCGACTGGGACTCGAACCTGGGTTCAGGGGCTGTCAAACCAACACCTTAAACGTTACACCAAGTGATCCAAACTCCTTGACAAGGTTGCTAGGTGTTGGGTTAACTTCGCTACAATATAATTTAAATGATCAAATCACACTACCAGATAAATCACATACCATGGATTGAGGCTACAGTATTTAGAACAGCTTTAGATTTCCATGATTACCTGATGAACTACCTGCACCAGCTCCTTGCCAACTGTGTACATATTCATGGCAAGAATCAGGAACATGCAGGTGGTGATAAAATAGCATTGCTGTGAAGATGGAGGAGTTGTTATTGAACTAGGTTTCTGAGACAAACAAATACACTAGAAAATAAGTCTAATGTCTTGCTGTGGATGTAATCGGATCTCATACGGCACCTTGTCAAGGGAGGTGGTCACCATGCTTACTGATGATGGTGATGTAGTATTGGTGACATTGGTGTTGAGGATGGGCTTCAGAGTATGAATGATGTGTGTCAGAGGCCCCAGACCAAGTGAGTAGATGGCCAGATTGAGCAGATGCACTTTGATACCATAGGCGTTCCTAAATAGATAAAAGAAACCATTTGGTGAATATTCGCAGGTGATTGTGCACTAATATATTTTGTATATACTGTAGCTTGGCATGACTTTTAATCTGATGTTGTCAATATTTAGTGTTGGAGACAGTAGTATGATGTTGTCAATATTTACAGTGTTGGAGACAGTAGTATGATGATAACGTTCATGCATAATATGCAGTCTAGCAGTGTCACTCACCATTTCATTTCTAGATACTTCTTGCAGACAGGATGGGTCAGAAGCTCTATGCGATTAAATTGCACCATGGACTAGTAAACAAATAACAAAATAAACACTTTGACAACATGTCAGATAATTATGTTTTCCTTTCCTCTATCCAACAATGTTGTATTGTGGGAATGACAAATACAGTACAAGTCAAAAGTATGGACACACCTACTCATTCAAGTGTTTGTCTTTATTTTGTACTATTTTCTACATTGTAGAATAATAGTGAAGACATCAAAACTATGAAATAACACATATGGAATCATGTAGTAACCAAAAAAGTGTTAAACAAATCTAAATATATTTTATATTTGAGATTCTTCAAAATAGCCACGCTTTGCCTTGTTGACAGTTTTGCACACTCTTGGCATTCTCTCAACCAGCTTCATGAGGAATGCTTTTCCAACAGTCTTGAAGGAGTTCCCACATATGCTGAGCACTTGTTGGCTGCTTTTCCTTCACTCTGCGGTCCAACTCATCCCAAACCATCTCAATTGGGTTGAGGTTGGGTGAATGTGGAGGCCAGGTCATCTGATGCAGCACTCCATCACTCTCCTTCTTGGTCAAATAGCCCTTACACAGCCTGAAGGTGTGTTTTGGGTCATTGTCCTGTTAAAAAACGAATGATAGTCCCACTAAGCGCAAACCAGATGGGATGGCGTATCGCTGCAGAATGCCTTGAATTCTAAATAAATCACAGACAGTGTCACCAGCAAAGCACCCCCATACCATCACACCTCCTCCTCCATGCTTCACGGTGGGAAACACACATGCGGAGATCATCCGTTCACCTACTCTGCGTCTCACAAAGACACGGCGGATGGAACCAAAAATCTCAAATTTTGACTCATCAGACCAAAGGACAGATTTCCACCAGTCTAATGTCCATTGCTCGTGTTTCTTGGCCCAAGCAAGTCTCTTCTTATTATTTGTGTCCTTTAGTGGTGGTTTCTTTGCAGCAAATCGACCATGAAGGCCTGATTCATGCAGTCTCCACTGAACAGTTGATGTTGAGATGTGTCTGTTACTTGAACTCTGTGAAGCATTTATTTGGGCTGCAATCTGAGGTGCAGTTAACTCTAATGAACTTATCCTCTGCAGCAGAGGTAACTGGGTCTTCCTTTCCTGTGGCAGTCCTCATGAGAGCCAGTTTCATCATAGCGCTTGATTGTTTTTGAGACTGCACTTGAAGAAACGTTCAAAGTTCTTGAAATGTTCCGTATTGACTGACCTTCATGTCTTAAAGTAATGTTGGACTGTCGTTTCTCTTTGCTTATTTGAGCTGTTCTTGCCATAATATGGACTTGGTCTTTTACCAAATAGGGCTATCTTCTGTATACCACCCTTACCTTGTCACAACACAACTGATTGGCTCAAACACATTAAGAAGGAAATAAATTCCACAAATTAACATTTAACAAGGCACACCTGTTAATTGAAATGCATTCCAGGTGACTACCTCATGAAGCTGGTTGAGAGAATGCCAAGAGAGTGCAAAAATGTCATCAAGGCAAAGGGTGGCTATTTGAAGAATCTCAAATATGAATATATTTTGATTTGTTTAACACTTGTTTGGTTACTACATGATTCCATATGTGTTATTTCATGGTTTTGATGTCTTCACTATTATTCTACAATGTAGAAAATAGTAAAAATAAAGAAAAACTGTTGAATGAGTAGGTGTGTCCAAACTTTTGACTGGTACTGTACATACAGTGCCTTCAGAAAGTATTCAGACCCCTTGACTTTTTTCACATTTTGTTACGTTACAGCTTTATTCTAAAATTGATTAAATCGTTTTTTTCCCTTATCAATCTACACACAATACCCCATAATGACAAAGCAAAAACAGGTTTTTTAAAATGTTTGCTAATTTATTAAAACATTTACATAAGTATTCAGACCCATTACTCAGTACATTGTTGAAGCACCTTTGGCAGTGATTACAGCATCGAGTCTTCTTGGGTATGACGCTACAAGCTTGGCACACCTGTATTTGGGGAGTTTCTCCCATTCTTCTCTGCAGATCCTCTCAAGCTCTGTCAGGTTGGATGGGGAGCATTGCTGCACAGCTATTTTCAGGTCTCTCCACAGAGATGTTCGATTGGGTTCAAGTCCGGGCTCTGGCTGGGCCACTCAAGGACATTCAGAGACTTGTCCCGAAGCCACTCCTGCGTTGTCTTGGCTGTATGCTTAGGGTCGTTGTCCTGTTGGAAGGTAAACCTTCGCCCCAGTCTGAGGTCCTGAGCGCTCTGGAGCAGGTTTTCATCAAGGATCTCTCTATACTTTGCTCCATTCATCTTTCCCTCGATCCTGACTAGTCTCCCAGTCCCTGCCACTGAAAAACATCCCCACAGCACGATGCTGCCACCACCATGCATCACTGTAGGGATGGAGCCTGGTTTCCTCTAGACGTGGTGCTTGGCATTCAGGCCAAAGAGTTCAATCTTGGTTTCATCAGACCAGAGAATCTTGTTTCTCATGGTCTGAGAGTCTTTAGGTGCCTTTTGGCAAACTCCAAGCGGGCTGTCATGTGCCTTTTACTGAGGAGTGGTTTCCGTCTGGCCACTCTACCATAAAGGCCTGATTGGTGGAGTGCTGCAGAGATGGTTGTACTTCTGGAAAGTTCTCCCATCCCCACAGAGGAACTCTAGAGCTCTGTCAGAGTGATCATCAGGTTCTTGGTCACCTCCCTGACCAAGGCCCTTCTCCCCAGATTGCTCAGTTTGGCCAGGCGGCCAGCTCTAGGAAGAGTCTTGGTGGTTCCAAACTTCTTGCATTTAAGAATGATGGAGGCAACTGTGTTCTTGGGGACCTTCAATGCTGCTGACATTTTTTAGTACCCTTCCCCAGATCTGTGCCTCGACACAATCCTGTCTCGGAGCTCTACGGACAATTCCTTCGACCTCATGGCTTGGTTTTTGCTCTGACATGCACTGTCAACTGTGGGACCTTATATAGACAGGTGTGTGCCTTTCCAAATAATGTCCAATCAATTGAATTTACCACAGATGGACTCCAATCAAGTTGTAGAAACATCTCAAGGATGATCAATGTAAACAGGATGCAGCTGAGCTCAATTTCAAGTCTCATAGGGTCTGAATACTTATGTAAATAAGGTATTTCAGTTTTTTATTTTTAAAACATTTGCAAACATTTCTAAAAAACATTTTTTGCTTTGTCATTATGGGGTATTTTGTGTAAAAATATTTAATCAATTTTAGAATAAGGCTGTAACGTAACAAAATGTGGAAAAAGTCAAGGGGTCTGAATACTTTCCGAACGCACTGTATATGACTTGTTCCTGATATTGCACTGTTTTGCTTTAAAATGTTAGTTGTTGAAACTTCATGGCCCTTAACTCTGGAGCAAAATAGCATGTTTGAAGACAGTGAAGTTCAGTCTACAGTATTGTAATGGGTACTAACGTTCAGAGCAGTGAGAGGCTGGAAGTAGTAGCTTTTGTCCGTTTTTGCAAGCTTAATGATATGCATGGGAGCTTGTAGCCATTTGAAAGTGTACTCGATCTGTTGATTTAAAAAAATACATTATTTTACATTACAACACATACCCTAACTGGAATGTTTTTGGGAATTTGATTAAGCAATAATGAACCTGAGTTTTAAGAAGGTAATACCACATACAGAATAGAGAGAACAGACTTACAGAGTAGTTGTAACTATTTACGTCATCATCTGACTCATTCACACAAGCGTCCAAAAGATGCTGTGGAAAAACATTGCACGATAAATGTACTTCTCACATGCTGACTGGGAAATGGGAGAGTTTTGTATCCATTTACTTTATGACAGTTTCCTTTATGCATAGTTTCTTGGATAAAACTAACTTTGAATGACTCTGGCAGGAACTCTATCATGTCCATGACAACACATCGCTTAGTTGACTTCACTTCGAACAATAGCATAGCCTCAGCACATCTGAAACAAACAGGTTATATTTTATTTTACATGTCAACATGACATTGTCATGCAATCCAACTGAATACCAATAATCAAACACATCATTGTACTGTCAAAGCATCATAACAGCACATACTGTACATAGTTAATAGATTAAGTATCCACTGTATCTTAGAACAGTGGCCCAACCTCTCATTGTGGATGACAGCGATGGCAACGTCTTTCCTGCCGTTGAGAACAGCTTCATGGAGGAAGGAGGCATCACTCTTGTTGAGCATCATCTGGGCCCCTCTGCCCAGGAGCAGTGTCACTGCAGCCGCATGACCCTCCCTGGCAGCCAGATGTAACGCTGTGTTCTGGACCAAAAGTAAAACATAGCACTTTGAAATTAGAACAGAGGATTGTATATAACCGCAACAATAACCTTTAGATTGACTTTTTCAGAAAGAGGAATGATATCTATTTGTGGAAGACTTCCTCTGAATTTCAACATAGACATCTTACTCCCTCAAGCAAAACAGAAAGGAAACATATAAGATGAGCACACCTCAGGGTAAGTGAAGGAAATGTGGAAAAAGAGAGGAACCAAACCCTTTCGTCATCTGTTTTGTCCAGCAGTTTGATATTTGATGCCAGGAGTATGATCATGGTCTGGGTGTAGCCTTCTGCTGCAGCGTGATGTAGACAGGTCCAACCTTTATAATCACTGCAATGGCATACTGTAAACATTCATTACTACTGCAGCTGATTCAAAATGGAAAATGTAGTAAAAAGATAGACCTTGGTTTCCACTGGTTTGGGCAATAATGGTTCACCTCACTCGGATTAGCGTTGAGTGTGAGTGCGTGTGTGCGTAGCAGGTCTGAAGTACTGTACCTGTGGAACAGAGCTCCTTTTCGCAGCAGCAGCTCTACCACTTTAATATGGCCGCCGCGGGATGCCAGGTGGAGGGGAGTCATCCCCCTCTCATCTCCCTCGTTCAGCAGCCTGGTGCTGGTCATGCTCTCCAGGAGTCTGTGGCAGGTGTTTATCCTCCCATACCTGGAATAGAAAAGATTGATCATTAAAAAGTAAGTTATCAAATACAAATAATGCTAAACTGAAAACCAGCCAAAATAGAAAACAGGGAAAATCATTCATGTTGTTGGAGTATAATGAGTCTATTGACAACTTAATTAGTCAATAATGTAGAAATGTATTCAGAAGTAACTAACTCGGCTGCGAAATGCAGTGCAGATTTCTTCTGCTTAGACTTCTGGTCCAGTGAGACATTGAGTCCGAGCATGTTCGTCACTGACTCTGGGATTCCCAGTCTGCAGGCGTAGTGCAGGGGAGTACAACCCTCATTGTCCTCCGCACCCAGGAGCTCTCTCACATTGCTGCACTGTGTGGCAAGAGACAATATGATAAATTTGGGATCTCATGAGTCAAACTAAGCGTTTACTGCCAACTTGATTAAAAATGATTGTACATGTCAACCCTACTGAGACAGTCACAAGAAGATATATGGTTTTAATATTGAACCTTGTTTAATACAAAGGCTAACAATATGATTCTGGGATCCTTCTCTGTGTGTTGGATTTGCTTCAAGTTCTCTACACTAGGTGGCAGTAATGCACTACGTGTTCTTACAAGATCCCCCACTAGTGCTCATTACAACATACTGTATGAGTTCATTGCAATATTTAGAACTTATGACTTTGCATTGAACATTTTAACATGGATCTCAGGGTCATTTTGGAAGCTTCATCATTGCTATTGAAACTTCTAGCAGGTACCTTCATCATATAATATTACCTGTAAGACTTCTGGAGGAAGGTTTTTCAGACCTTTAGGCTGCAAGATGGCAAGGTGAAGGAAATTGCAGTCATATTTGTCTTTTATTTTCAAATTAGCGCCTAAAATAGGAGAGGATGAACATGATTACGACAAACCATACACTAGTGTAAACTAAATGTGACATTCGCCTCTCTTTGAGAATCGTACCATGTGTAAGAAGAAGCCCCACTGTTTTCCATGCACTACAGCTTGTTGCCAGAAGCAGTGGGGTATGACCCTTACAGTCAATGGAGTTAATGTCTGCGCCCTGTCAAAGAATAAATATTAATATGATAAGATCGTGAAACACTGGAAAAATATTCATAATTTTCTCATGGTTCTTTTCATGTTTTGTGTTTACCTTTGAAATGAGGTATTCAGCCAATTCAACATGGTCAAATATTGTTGCCCTGTTGGTGAAAAACATGATAAAAGAGTAAGAGAGTAGGTTATAATTTTTACCTAAAAGTATTTTCCAATGAAAAATGCATACAGTATACAGTGTACTACCTATGCAGTGGGGTTTGGCTAGCTCCATCTGTGATATTGATGACATCACAGACTCTATCATATGCTGATAGCATGAGTTTGACCGCCTCGGTTGCTCCCTGGGTGCAGGCAAAGTGGAGGGCTGTGGAGTTGTCACACTGTAAAGAGAAGCAGAAAGACATAACAGAGATTACAATGACTCAGACCAGCTTGAAATTATGTCAGGATATTACAGACACCGGTCGGTTCCCCTTGATTAGATTTAGAGTGGATTTGGTAATCTTCCAATGTCTCGTGGGAGTAACATGAACTGACAATGTACCCATTATGGGTGGATGCTTATGGATGCATAATAACCTATTGTTACTTACTGTAACACATTGTAAGAACCTCAGTTCTAAGAACCTTTCAAATGAATGCCTGTAATGGTAACTGTGATATTTACATTGTTTTATATTGGAAGAAAAGTATAATTAAGGTTCATAATTGGTCTTTCTTATTACTCAGAAGCCTTAGAAATATATGTGTTTTTGTCTATGGTTCTGAGAAAGAACCAAAGTTATTTTTGTGTTAGATATATGTATATGATATTTGTAGGTGCAGTTTGAATGATTATTTACATATCCACAGAAAAAGCTTCTTAACTTCATCATCACCAGCTGACATACCTGTTGTTGGTCGATTTTTGCTCCATGTTCTATGCAGAGTTTGATCACCTCCAGGTTGCCTCCATGGACGGCCAGATGAAGAGGAGTGCTGAATGATTTGTCCACGTAGTTGATGTGCGTTTCAGTTGAGCAACCCATCTCCTCACCTTCAGCAGAGAACATTAGTGAGTAAGAATTATCTGATTAACATTGTTTGAGTACCAAAATGTGTATTTGATTATTATAATAGGAAAGCAAATGTTTCTTATTTACATTTCTGAAGAACCACCAGCATTGATTTTTTAGCACCTGCAAATGCTGCTGCGTGAATGGGATAATGCCCCAGCTTGTTCTGTTGACATAGTCTGGCTCTGTATTTAAACTGAGAACAGTACGTGAAATTTGAGCAGTTACATTACAAAAACCTCATAGGACATCAATAATGAACGATGAATCACACACATATCCTTGTTCAAACATAAAAGAACACACAATTTGACAATTATACAGTGGCCATATATTTAATATTCACACACAAGTAGACGAAGAGCTTCATGGTTATCAAGCGAGCAGGCCAACATTACAGGTGTGTTCCCCTGGTCTCCCTCCAGGTTGGCATCTGTGTTGCTGTGAGACAGTAACAGCTGTGGAAAAACCCAATTACTTATAATATAAATCATACTGTATGATATCATATCTTATTATATCATATAATATCATATCATCATATAATATCGTAGTATATCATATCACATAATATATGTTATTAGACTGAATGAATAATAGTACATGGAGGTGCACTAGCTAGAAGTGTAGAAGTGTTATAGAGGTGTATTAGAACATGGTTTCCCAAACTCGGTCCTGGGGCCCCCCCTGGGTGCACGTTCTGTGAGAGAGAGACGAGAGACCGCAACCAACCAAGCCGACTCACGCTATAGCAGACTAATAGCTGCCATAGCTAGGTTATTTATCATCCAATATGATTAAGTAGTGCCTGTCTTGACTGCATCAAACTGGGAGAACCTAGTTAAGCTAGCTAGATAGCTAGGCTAATTGAGGCTGCTTGTGCTTTCTTGTCCTACAGTTACAAATAACAACAACTCCATTCATAATATTAAGTAGCAGCCTACCTGTTGGCTCTTGGTCGTTGTAGCCTATCCTTCTCCTTTAACTTTTAATTCTGTCATTTTAATTACATTTCCCATGATATCTCCTCACTTTTGCCACACACTGAGGCTCTATGACTATTGCCATTTTGATGACTTATGATTGGCCATGCGCACCACTTGAGCTACACGCGACCAGCTACATGCACCACGCGCCACTCTCTCTCTCTCTTTACAGCAGTTGGGTTCGGGTCTGTACGGGTCCTTCCGGAACGTCAGTTAAAATGACACATATCCGAGATAGGTGGGGCCCAGAGTGGTGGGGCCCGTAGTTTTTCCCGATCTGGTAACCTAACCAGGTAAAACTCTAGACCTTATATGGTATGACTGATTAATCTGTTGTAAAAGGTTTAAATGGGCAGAGTTTTTCTTATCAGGTCACGTCATTAAAAAAAAATCCTAGCCTTGATGAAAACCCTGTCAACTACAGTAACCTTGTACTTGTTCATTTGAATTATTTGTTAAAGACTAGGGGGGTTTCCTATAGGCCTACACTAGCTTTAGCGGAGTTGCCAACAACCATATGTTACATTTCTTTCTGCTGAAAACCGGATGTGGGAACTCTGCTCAAGCGTTTCTCTTAAGCCTGCTACGTTAGGTTACCTATATCCTACACAGACACAGAGAAACATGGCCGCGGGAAGATGTTTTGGGTTGGGAGTATTGTCGATGGGGGGAGTAATAAAGGCCTAGTTAACACATTTTGAACATTTTGTGGATATTTTTTTTCCAAAATGTATTTGGGGGTGCTGCAGCACCCTCAGCACCCCTACTGTGGCTATGCATAGAAAGCAACATGATTGGACAATAAATCTCACAGGGCTGAGCTTTCTTTATGCAGGTTTGCATTATGTAGTCCTACCCTATGCAACTGTAGGCCTAATTAAACATTAACTCACAGTTTATGTCAGCTATTGTGTTTACTGATTAATTCCAGTTAATCATTTTGGATTGAAAAAGTATAGGTAGCCTAGTCATCCCAAGTTTGAATATAAACCAAAAGGATCCCATTCACATTTTCTCACAAACAAATGGGCTATAAATTCAAAACGTTACCGCTTTGTTTAACCTGGCCAGCCCAGAGGAACAGGGTGCACAGTTGGCTAGACTATGCAGCTGCTGTTGTTAGTAGCCTACAGTTGATCAGACTGAAAAATAGTTTCGTTTCCATGGAATACAATATGTCAGATCGCTAATGTTGATGTGTATAGGCTGCTACATTTATATAATAGTTTTTGCTTGTGTCTGTCAGTAGTGATGTGTTGCTAAACACCTGAGGAAAGTGGAGAGCGCGCGCCTTGAGCTTTGTGCGTTGTGCCCGGCCCGACCTGAGATGTCTGTGAATCTGATCGCTCAAGAAGACACACAAAGACCCAACAGCAGCACTCCGATGTGAAGGACATAGAAATGATGTGTTATTTGACAAATCATGAGGCAAATTGTTTTTTTTTTAAACTGCACTTTTCCCCTCTTTTTAACGCTATTTTATTCAACTAAATCAAAAGTGGGGTGGAGCTGCCACAACGGATTGAAAAGTGCTGTGGTAAGTGCAGCCTCATCACACGTTTTCTGATCGCCCTGGTGACAATCATAGCAGATCCGACCCAAAAACCGTGACATTATTTAGAATTCTGGAAACGGACCCACTCAGGGGCTACAGGTGGATCAGTGAAGACCTCGAGTTGCAACAGAATACCATCGTGCATACCATTTGTATGTCTCTACATCCAGTATGAAGTTAGAGGTAGTTTCACGAGCCAATGCTCGCTAGCGTTAGCACAATGACTGGAAGTCTACAGGAACAGTTAGCATGCTAGCTGTTCCTGTTAATCAGACTCTGGGGAAGTGGATAAATAGCTTATTTGCCAAATCTCAAAACTAATATGGAGGAAATTACAGTCATTGGAGCTAATTACAGTTTTTTTCTGTATAGAAAATTATTGTGGTATTTTTTTCGGGATGGATCAACTGTTTCAGTGTCAACTTAAACAACCAAAACCGGATAGAAAGCATGCAGGAAAGATATTGGAACTATATTTTAAAATAATACCATCTTTGAGAATGAACAATAAAATAAAAGCTAGACAGTCAGGGAAAATAGAAAATTCAAGTAAATGGACATTCAGGGCACATGCCCATTGATATTATTAAAATGTTTGAGCAGAGGAACAGCATTAGCCATGGCAAAATGCATAGAATTGCAGGAAATTAGCTTCGAAACTGCAAAATTCTCTCAGCTCAATGGAATTTTTTTTAGAATTGCAGAATATTTGCTTTACAACAGCAACATTTTCACTACATGCCAAGACACCTTTCTAGCTAATAGACTATGTTAGAGTGTACACTTCCTCTTCCAATGAACTGTGGGGAGGTCTATATAATGGAACTGTCCACCAAATCTATTCATTTTCAAATGTTGATTACTTCTACTTGCTATTATCATTCACCTGATGACTGTTCTGCCTGCGGTTATGGAACCCCTACCTGTCCCAGACCTGCTGTTTTCAACTCTTAATGATCGGCTATGAAAAGCCAACTGAGATTTATTCCTGATTATTATTTGACCATGCTTGTCACTTATGAACATTTTTGAACATCTTGGCATGGTTCTGTTATAATCTCCACCCGGCACAGCCAGAAGAGGACTGGCCACCCCTCATAGCCTGGTTCCTCTCTAGGTTTCTTCCTAGGTTTTGCCTTTCTAGGGAGTTTTTCCTAGCCACCGTGCTTCTACACCTGCATTACTAGCTGTTTGGGGTTTTAGGCTGGGTTTCTGTACAGCACTTCGAGATATTAGCTGATGTAAGAAGGGCTATATAAAATAAAATTGATTGATTGAAGACAAGACGTAAAACATTTTTTTGTTAACATATGATGGGGTTTGGGGTCCTTGGGCAAGAAAAGTTTGAAAACCCCTAGAGTAGAGATGAATGGGGGGTCAGGTAGGGGACGGACCTCGACGAGAGCGTTGTGCCTGAGGCTGACAGCCAGGTGCAGGGGAGACATGAGGCGGAGATTGAGGATGTTCGGGTCTGCCCCCAGGTCCAGCAGGCAAGCACAGCTCTCTCTCTGGGTCCTCTGCACAGCCCAGTGCAATGGAGTGTTACCCTCCTCATCACTGGCATTCAGTTCTTCACAAAGGTCACAGATAGATATTTGTTTTCTCAATACATTTAAATACATGCATCAATACCAAATGATTGATAAAACAAAATAAATAAGATTTTGGCGACAATATCAAATGACAAACAATAATGATGTTTAAAGGAAGATATTCCCTATGACCTGTGGTACCACTGCATACAGTAAATAAATACGTCTTACCATCTGGACCAGTCAACTGCACAATGAGCTGTATGGTGCTGATATGCCCGTGTGAGGTTGCGTAATGCAGAGGGCTGGCATTGGCTTGGTCACGGACCCCCAGCAGGGCTGAGTGCTTTCCCAACACTGCCGAGTCACCTTGCAGAGCCCACTAATATCATAGTGTGGAAAGACCATATCAGTCCTGTATTATGATCTGGTTTACAGTAACACATCTGTTCAAAAGACTATTGTACATACTGGATTCTGTTACTGTTCAATTGACAGTTAAGTAAAACATCTGAACTAAAACCAGAGAAAAAATTGCCAAAGACTCCAGCCACCCAAGCCATAGACTGTTCAGTCTGCTACCGTCCGGCAAACGGTATCGGAGCATCAGCTCTCGGACCAACAGGCTCCGAGACAACTTCTACCCCCAAGAAATAAGACTGCTAAATAGCCAGACTGCTAAATAGTCAATTTATGGTACTCATACTATTTGCACTGACCCTATGCATACCTCACTAGACTATATACAGTATACACAACATATACACACTCACACACACTACATTGACACTCCCACACAAAACCCTCCCACATTCACAACACTACATTGACACTCCCACACAAAACCCTTACACATTCACATACACTACATAGGCACACACACACACACATAACACGCACACGCATATCGACAAAACACAAACACACATTCATACACATTACACACACACCCATACACACTTTTACACTCATCATTTGCTGCTGCTACTCAGTTCTTTATTTTACTCTTATTATTATCTATTCTGATGCCCAGTCACTTTAACCTGCCTTCATGTACATATCTACCTCAAATACCTCGTACCTCTGCACATTGATCTGGTACTGGTACTCACTGTATATACAGTGCCTTCAGAATGTCTTCACACTCCTTGACTTTTTCCACATTTTGTTGTGTTACAGTCTGAATTTAATATGGATTAAATTGAGATTTTTTTTTATCACTGGCCTACACACAATACCCATAATGTCAAAGTGGAATTATGTTTTTAATTTTTAAACATGAAAAGCTGAAATGTCTTGAGTCACTAAGTATTTGTTATGGCAAGCCTAAATAAGTTCATGATTTTTTTTGCCAAACATGCATCCTGTTTGCAACAAGGCAGTAAAGTAATACTGCAAAGAATGTGTCAAAGCAATTACAACTTTTTGCCCTGAATACAGTGTTATGTTTGGTACAAATCCAATACAACACATTACTGAGTACCACTCTCCATATTTTCAAGCATAGTTGTGGCTGCATCATGTTATGAGTATGCTGGTAATTGTGAAGGACTGGGGAGTTTTTCAGGATTAAAAGAAACGGGATGGAGCTAAGCATAGGCAAAATCCTAGAGGAAAACCTGGTTCAGTCTGCTTTCCACCAGACACTGGGAGATGAATTCACCTTTCAGCAGGAAAATAACTTAAATGGCCAAATCTACACTGGAGTTGCTTACCAAGAAGACAGTGACTGTTCCTGAGTTGCCAAGTTACAGTAAAAAAAAAAAAGAATTAAAAAAAAGAAGGGCAATCAGGGCACATGCCCATTGATTTTATTATAATGTTTGAGCAGAGGAACACAGCATTATCGATGGCAAAATGCATAGAATTTCAGGAAATTAGCTTGAAAACTGCAAAATTCACTCAGCTCAATGGAAAAATGTGTAGAGTTGCTGAAAATGTGCTTTACAACAGCAACATTTTCTCTACGACGCAAGATATCTTTCTAGCTAATACACTTTTTAAAAAATGAATTCACCTTTCAGCAGGACAATAACCTAAAACACAAGGCCAAATCTACATTAGAGTCGCTTACCAAGAAGACAGTGACTGTTCCTGAGTGGCCGAGTGGCAGTTTTGACTTAAATCGAATAGAAAATCTATGGCAAGACCTGAAAATGGTTGTCTAGCAATGATCAACAACCAATTTGACAGAGCTTGAAGAATTGTGAAAAGAATAATGGGCAAATATTGCACAATCCCGGTGTGGAAAACTCTTAGAGACTCAGAAAGACTCACAACTGTAATTGCTGCCAAAGGTGCTTCTACAAAGTATTGACTCAAGGGTGTGAATACTTATGTAAATGAGATATTTCTGTATTTCATTTTCAATACATTTGCAAAAAATTCTAAAAACATGTTTTCATTGTCATTATGGGGTATTGTGTATAGATGGATGAGAAATAACATATATTTAATCCATTTTGAATTCAGGCTGTAACAACAATTGGGGAATAAGTTAAAGGGTATGAATACTTTCTTAAGGCACTGTAGCTCCATTTTTGTTTATTTTATTTTATTTGTCTTGTGTTACAATTTTTAAGCAAGAATTTCACAGTAAACTCTATACCAGTTGTATTCGGTGCATGTGATTTGATTTAGAGCAATGTATTTTTTACTAATCACAAAAACATATTAAAATAGTTTAGCATATTTGGAGATGATGGCTCTCATACTCAACTAATAATGAGTAAAGTTGAAAAATAAAAAACTCTACATGAAAGAGGAATTGAACATCTGCAAGATCTGTTTTCCACATGACTTACCTCAAATATTTTGCCAGAAATCTCTGTAGCATCATCTCCATGAATCATAGACTGGTAGGTCTTGTCCTGCATCAGGTCGGTCTTTGAGGAGCTCATCAGGCTTTTCTGTTCATGTAGACATTTCCACAAGGACTTGAACGTTTCATGTGGTTTGGTTTGTGACAGAATGTGTAGATTTGTAGTATGTTCTACAATAGGTAAGAGCAGAGAAGTTACATTTCAACATACATTAATATCTACAGTAAACAGCTGTCAATGTATAAGCACTAAGTGTACATAAAAAACATACAGTATTGAAAACAAACACATCCAGCAGGCTGCATAACCGGCTGTAAAATATTAAAACATGTCAACCAATGAGTCCAAGCAGTAAGATGTAATATATGATCTTACCTTTATGTTCTCTGGGTGTGAGATGAGCTTTCTAGTGTCTGCTGCTATTAGAGGGGTGGGGTTTATATAGAGACATTTGCCAAACAAATCGAATTACATTGCCTCTTGGTTGGTCAGACTTTGGACTGACAGTGGAGAGGCTTATTATCCTAATGTAAATGCATCTGGTCCATTGTCACAGACTAGACAAGTTAATTGGACAAACAGTCCTTCCTGAAAAACAACATTAGCTGAAACTGAGGGGTAACTTTGTGGTTTAGAGTAAACCTATGAGATTCACAATCTCATTACAGCACTATGGTACTATGTTTTTCCAGTAGTAAACTAAAATCAATAATTCTCTCTTTGTTCCGAATTATGTAATGACCACAATGGAATGGACCTATTCACTTATGTTTCATATGTAACATATAGCTGAGGATCTTTTCCAATCCTTATAAAACATTATAGTACCATAAACAATTATTAAAACCAGGAAATTACCTTATTTCTATCATGGCTTATATTCAATTTACATGCATTGTGTTAACTTTGCCAATTCAACTCTGTGAACGTAGTTGTTCCAAAACATTACATTTAGTATAAAATACCCCATTCACAATGCTTACTCTTACTCAGTCCGCTGTAAAAAAAAAAGAAAAAAGAATACACCTCCTGTATGAACAAATCTTTCGGCATTTATTGACTTAAGCTTCAGCTTGTTAAGCTCTTTTATTATATTATTTCATTAGCGTGCTTTCATAAGGCATTCAGGTTTTCTGCTGATAACAATGCTCTGTGGGAGCCTGGGCAATGAACCATATATATGTTCATGAATATTTTCAATAAAGATAGGGACCTCCATTATTGAGTCCAATCACAGTCAATATTTGTTTGGTTAGCATTACAGAGGGGCAAACATGGTGTTATATTTCATAATGCTCCCTTGCCATCATCTGATAAACATCTGGTTTATTGTTGTATTTTGAATTAAAGTACAGAGCGTTCAGAAAGTATTCATACCCCTTTACTTATTCCACATTTCGTTGTGCTACAGCCTGAAATAAAAATGAATTAGATTGATTTTTTATCTCACCCATCTACACACAATACCCCATAATGACAAAGTGAAAACACGTTTTTAGATTTTTTTGCAAATGTATTGAAAATGAAATGCAGAAAAATATTATTTACGTAAGTATTCACACCCCTGAGTCAATAATTTGTAGAAACACCTTTGGCAGCGATTACAGCTGTGAGACTTTTTGGCTAAGTCTCTATGAGCTTTAAACACCTGGATTGTACAATATTTGCCCATTATTCTTTTAAAAATTATTCAAGCTCTGTCAAGTTGATTGCTGATCATTGCTAGACACCCATTTTCAAGTCTTGCCATAGATTTTCAAGCCAATTTCAGTCAAAACTGTAACTAGGCCATTCAGGAACATTCAATGTCATCTTGGTAAGCAACTCCAGTGGTTTAGGTTATTGTCCTGCTAAAAGGTGAAATCGTCTCCCAGTGTCTGTTTGAAAGCAGACTGAACCAGGTTTTCCTCTAGGGTTTTGCCTGTGCTTATAGCTGTATTCCGTTTCTTTTTATCCTAAAGAATTCCCTAGTCCTTGCTGATGACAAGCATACCCATAACATCATGCAGCCATCACCATGCTTGAAAATATGAAGTGTGGTACTCAGTGATGTGTTGTGTTGGATTTGCCCCCAAAATAAGGCTTTGTATTCAGGAATAAAAAGTTAATTTCTTTGCCAATTTTTTTGCAGTATAACTTAAATGTCTTAATGCAAACAGGCTGCATGTTTTGGAATATTTGTATTCTGTACAGGCTTCTTTCTTTTCACTCTGTAATTTAGGTTAGTATTGTGGAGTAACTACAATGTTGTTCATCCATCCTCAGCTTTCTCATATTACAACCATTAAACTCTGTAACTGTTTTAAAAATCACCATTGGCCTCATAGTGAAATCCCTGAGCAGTATCCTTCCTCTCCAGCAACTGAGTTAGGAAGGACACCTGTATCTTTGAATTGACTGGGTGTCACCATCCAACGTGTAATTAATAACTTCACCATGCTCAAAGGGAAATTCAGTGTCTGTTTTTTTTATTTTTACAATCAGTGCCCTTCTTTGCGAGGCATTGAAAAACCTCCCTGGTCTTCGTGGTTGAATCTGTGCTGGAAATTCACTACTCGATTGAGGGACCTTACAGATAATTGTACTTATGTGGTACAAAGATGGGGTAATCATTCAAAAATCATGTTAACCACTATTATCGAACATGGAATGAGTCCATGCAACTTATTATGCGATTTTTGTTAAGCACATTTTTACTCCTGCACTTATTTAGGCTTGCCATAACAAAGGGGTTGGATACTTATTGACTTATTTCAGCTTTTACATTTTTATTAATTTCAAAAATTGTCTACAAAAAAATTCCACTTTGACATTATGGGGTATTGTGTGTAGACAAAATCTCAATGTAATATATTTTTTTACTAAGTCTGTAACACAACAAAATGTGAAAAAAGTCAAGCGGTGTGAATACATTCTGAAGTCACTGTATGTTACTATGTTTGATTGATTGCCAATTCGGAAAGTATTCAGACCCCTTGACTTTTTCCACATTTTGTTACGTTACAGCCTTATTCTAAAATGGATGAAATAAAAAACTGTTCCTCATCAATCTACAAACAATACCGCATAATGACAAAGCGAAAACAGGTTTTAGAAATTTTAGCAAATCTATAAGAATTAAAAGCAAAATACCTTATTTACATAAGTATTTAGACCCTTTGCTATGAGACTTCGAAATTGAGCTCAGGTACATCCTGTTCCCATTGAACATCCTTGAGATGTTTCTACAACTTGATTGGAGTCCACCTGTGGTAAATTCACTTGATTGGACATGATTTGGAAAGGCACACACCTGTCTATATAAGGTCCCACAGTTGACAGTGCATGTCAGAGCAAAAACCAAGCCATGAGGTCGAAGGAATTGTCCGTAGAGCTCCGAGACAGGATTGTGTCGAGGCACAGATCTGGGGAATGGTAGTGAAAAATGTCTGCAGCATTGAAGGTCCACAAGAACACAGTGGCCTCCATCATTCTTAAATGGAAGAAGTTTGGAACCACCAATACTCTTCTTAGAGCTGGCCGCCCAGCCAAACTGAGCAATCAAGGGAGAAGGGCCTTGGTCAGGGAGGTGACCAAGAACCCGATGATCACTCTGACAGAGCTCTAGAGTTCCTCTGTGGAGATGGGAGAACCTTCCAGAAGGACAACTATCTCTGCAGCACTCCACCAATCAGGCCTTTATGGTAGAGTGGCCAGACGGAAGCCACTCCTCAGTAAAAGGCACATGACAGCCCGCTTGGAGTTTGCCAAAAGGCACCTAAAGGACTCTCAGACCATGATAAACAAGATTCTCTGGTTTGACGAAACCAAGATTGAACTATTTGGCTTGAATGCCAAGCGTCACGTCTGGAGGATACCTGGCACCATCCCTACAGTGGAGCATGGTGGTGGCAGCATCATGCTGTGGGGATGTTTTCCATCCAACCTGACAGAGCTTGAGAGGATCTGCAGAGAATAATGGGAGAAACTGCCCAAATACATGTGTGCCAAGCTTGTGGCGTCATACCCAAGAACACTCGAGGCTGTAAGGTGCTTCAACAAGTACTGAGTAAAGGGTCTGAATACTTATTTAAATGTGATTTTTCCTGTTTTTATTTGTAATACATTTGCTACAATTTCTAAAAACCAGTTTTAGCTTTGTCCTTATGGGGTATTGTGTGTAGATTGATGAGGGAAAAAAACAATGTAATACATTTTAGAATAAGGCTGTAACGTAACAAAATGTGAAAAAATTCAAGTGGTCTGAATACTTTCCGAATGCACTGTAGTTGAGCTAGAAATGTCCCAACACATAGAGTTATTAGTCATAACTGTCATGAAATATTGCTTTTACATTTATGAAATAATAATTATATACGGTATTTAATGAAATAATAATGTAAGGGCCTATTTAATTGAGTGGAATTTTCTACTGTCATTTCATATTTTACTGGTGCAATGCAAGAGTCAATGCTGTTTCAATGGATAACTCTGACTGATTTCTTTAGTAGTAATGTAAGTAGTCCACTGGATTGAATGTCAAACTTTGTCAATGCAAAATAATGTTCTTACGGAAAACAGTATTATCTTATACTGTATGCTTATGTGGAACATCTTTTATACTATGAATAAGCAACCTACCCCCTCTTGTGGTCACCTTTGATACAGCTATTTATTTTACCCATCATGAAGTCATAGATATCCACATCCCTGGCAAACAGGATCTTCTTAGAAAGCCACATACAGTCAATGGCAACCCGTCATTCAGAGTAGGTGCCCCACCTGTTTTGATCCCCACCTGCTTAGCAACAAAAAAAGTAATATATATATGCCCCTCACAAGCTCTGTATCCTTATGTTACTGATCGGAGATGGCAAAAATTAAGGGGTTCATTAGACTTTTTAATTACTCTACAAACATACCAGGAAACACATTTTCTCGCATTCAACGTACTTGATGACTAACTTGAGATTGATTGAAAGTGCATTGTTAAATACAGTATTTAATGTAAATGGGACCACAGCACCTTCTCTGCCATTATATTGTTGCAACCTTAACCCAGTGTTTCTTAATCCTAGTCCTGGGGACCCATTTTTGTT